TTCCCGAAAGGAACATGGATGGGCGGATTCACGATATTGGCGTCCGTCAGGTGCCTGCGCCTGGGTGATGAATGTTTTGTGTGGCTCATGCTGCCAGTGACGTTCGCAGGCGTCCATAAAGCTAAGGAATCACGACTAGCAGCGATGATATGAAGACACGACGCGGCAATCGTCTGCTGTGTTCAAGGGGTCGCAGCTGGGGGTATGACCACCGGCGCCCTGCCACATCGCGGAAAAGGCAGCGGAGCAGGGAGGAGGAGGCCGCGGAATGGATACTGCTGGCAACCAATTTGGCTGAATTGCGTTAACGTGAACGCTTTCTACATTCTGCAGCACTCTGCAGCACTCATGCAGTCGCAAACTCTGCGGGGAGAATTGCCGACGCCTGTGCGAGCCTCGAAAAAAGTTGCATATCCTGGATATGGAATAGGATATGGAGGGGCCCCATACCCAGGATATCGAATATGATATGGGAGCCACATCCTGGGATATGGCCAGGATACGGCCGAGGGTACGGCCATATCCTGTGACATGGGCACCCAAAACCAGGGATACGGCCATATCCTGGATATGTATACACAGGATATGGAACATTTTCCCGCCGAGTGCATGCCCAGCTCATGTGCACCCAACATACTAACAACCTTAAGTCCGGCGATTGTGCTTACCAACTTTTCAGCACATTGCTGTGCACTCGCTCCCCACGCACGCTTTGGTATAATGCGCTGCTGGATAGCAAAGCATGGCGGCGAAACCATTAACTGCACGCATCTCAGTCTGTGCAACGTCTCTACGGGCCAGAGAAAAGGCAAATTTGCTAAAGCACTCCTAAAACCTTTGCCATGAGCTTCAAAATGTTTTTGAGCCTTTTCAGGCTGCCAGCTGCCGCCACCCTCCGGAGAGCGACAGCGCGGTACTGTCTACTATCTTTGCGCAAAAATTTCTCCACCCCCCTGTTTTGTCCTTGGTCCCCTCCAGGCAAGTACGCAATTGTAACTGCGTTGCATCATCTCGAAATGGCAGCTCTCTCCCCCTGCGCTGAATCGCTCTGTCGCAGTGGTACGCGGTAAGCCGCTCCAAACGGGCTCTGGTACTTAAGGCCCATCTTCTGGTAGCAGGCCACGGGAATGCCGATGTCCGCAAGGATAAGGTCCCCGGTGAGGTGAGCCTTGAGGCCCGTCTTGGGCAGGGCCAGAGTTAGCGTCGCGGCGGGCTTGATGTACTCGCCGGGCGTGTCCCCAGTGGTTGAGTTGACGCCTGATGGGACGTCCAGAGAGAGCTTGGGGGCTGCACACGCGTTGGCCCACCTGCGGACACCACGTGCATGAATCACGGCCCTGGCTTCGAGTCAATACACCAACGTGGATTCCAAGTGGATGCTGTATTATTTCCAAATTGTCCTCGACAAGAAAAAACTGTGCAATTGTGCCTGGCAGGCCATGGCAATGTTGTTTCCAAGCAGATGCCTTAATTCTTTAAATTTGCCTTCGGCAAGACAAAGCGGTGCCCTTGCACCTCATACGCGATGACAAGATTATTTTCAAATGCGCGTTGTAACCCTTCAAAGTTGCCATCCACAAGACACAGCGGTCCCCTTGCACCTTGCGCCTATGACTACAAAATTCCAAACAGATGCAAATGTGAGGAAAAGCGGGCGAACGAATTGTGAAACGAATTGTGCGCACAGCCCATAAAAACCCGCTGTCGAATGTCGACAACTGAGATGGACTTAGTCGGGACTGAATCTTGCATTAAGCATTGAGGAACATGTGCAAATCGGAACGTCACAACCTCCATTCACAACTTGGGACTATGTCGGACGAACGGCTGCTCGCGGCAGCATCGCCTGCGCAGCATCCAAAATCGGATTTTCAAAAGGCGCTCATATTTCGTCGCGCAGATGTCCCCTCACCTGATGGCTTCCAGCGCCGCCCCCCGGGGCGCACCCTTCAGGCTGTACCCCAACAGCGCATCAATGACTAATCCCACACCGTCGGCTGGCAACTCCCCCACGCTCGCTTCTCTGCCCTGTGTGCCCAGGAAAACGTGCCGTTGGTACGCCGGCACCTCGCCCAGACCCTCCACCCGCGTTACGCTGAGCGTAACATCCGCGCCCCTGTTTGCCAAGTGCCTGGCAGCGCATATGCCTCCGCCGCCATTGCCCCCCGTGCCGGCCAATACCACGACCTTTGAGGACGCCCAAGCGGGACCCATCATGTCAATCGCCTGTGACCACAAATGGCTGTCAGCTAACAACTGAATTTGAGTATTTCAATTGAAAAGTTGTGTTCCATGGCCTCAAAACTGTGGCGACATTGTTAATGGAATCAAATCTGTCATGAAATTCGGGACCTTTCCTGTATGTGATTTTTGGGCCCTTTAACATTCAATATTTGGAGCCCTTGAACCCTTGCTTCGCAATCGCGGCATACCCCATTAAGCTACAAATCACTGAGTACCTCACGAACACACACAAATATCAAGAAACTGTCAAGGACAAATTTCACGCACATTCTGTAAAGCACCAAAGTCCCGCCAGCGCACAGCGCGACAGCGCCAGGATCGCCCTTCTATGCAAACGGCCTAATGGTCAAAATTCTCAGCGGCACGAACACGGAAATGAACAAACACTGAGATGCAAACAAGAGCTGCTCGGAATTCATGCCCGACATCGCCTGTGAGGCGCTGGGACTTTGTTTTGTCGTGGTGTTGGGCCAATGAAATCGAAGTATTTGATGAGCAGTGGCACGGTCGCCCGGCACTCTGATTGGGTGCAAACCTGCAGCGCCAGGTTGCGCCCCGCGTTTTCCATCATCTGAAACAGCGCAGGGCCTGTGTCTTCAACGGCAATGCGGTCCACTTCACGCATGCCTTCCTCGGTCACGGCCGGCACAGCCAGTCCGTCGGCGGTGGTGAAAATCTCCTGGCCGGGGGTGCCCATCGCTGGTTCAAGTGCCGAAGAAATGAGGAATAAACGATCCAGCAATTCAGCGCGGCTCACAAAACTTGTGTGGAATGTGGAATTTGAATGTGAATAATTTAAGCGAACGCAAACGTGATGCATTTGCTGATTGAGCTCGCCAGAGCACGGAACAAACTTTTAGGTGCGCATTGGCTGAGAGCAGCGGCAGCGCTCTGTCATTTGTTGCCAAGTGCGAAAAAGGATCACAGGGGCAAGTTCACAATGCCAGCTGCCGAGGTTTCACTAACTGATTGAAGGCAGATCAGAAGCGGCCAGAAATTTGTATGGATCAACTTTTACAACAGCGGGCTGCACCCGTGTGTGCCTGGCCGTCATACGTGTGAGCCGGCATTCTGACATTTCTGTGACAGCAGACCCGCTGCACTCCAAAATTATTCTAAATGAGACGCGTCCAAATTTGCAGTCTGAATGTAGTGTGAATCTCAATCGGAAAACAAATTGATATGGAATAGACAACAGTGAATCGATGGCCATTCATCTTCTGCACATTCCAATGCACAGCGCCAAAGACTTTGCTTGCGTTGATTTCCTGCCGTAACCTGGGTCCATTGCTTTCTATATTTCAATAAGAAAACGCGGACTTCCCCCCCACCCCACCAACAAAAGTACCCTTCACAGTACTCATCGCCCCATTCGTGACCCTATTCCTAATCGCGCATTGAGCCTGTTTTAGGGCGCCATAGTGGCGTGAGCGCCAGCACAGTCCCGTAATGCCGACCCCAACGCAACGCACGCCCGCAGGCGGCCAATGGGGCCCACCCCGGGCGCCGCGCCCCCTGGCGGGCCGCCACGGCGTCCTGGCGACCTTCTTTCGGGGCCCCATCAGCCGCCGGAAGGCCTTCTCAGGTGCGGGCAGAGCATGCGGCTTTCGTCCTGTGGGGTGATGGGAACGGCTCACGGCGTCGCGATCGGCACCGTCGATGAGGATGTCGGATTCCGTCCGCAGCTCTGGTTGCCAGAAATGAATGAGAGATGCGCGGTGGAGGCGGCGCTGCCCGCACCTTTGAAATTCTCAAAGCCTTCGGCCGCCGGTTCTCGAAATTGTGGCGCTGCGGGCTGGTTGCGAAAAGGGGGCGGAAAATGCCGACCGGCCTCACGGACATGGAGGATTCTTGGCAGCAAAATGGGGAACGCATCACACGGCGGGCGCCGAGCAGACGCGCCGGCGATCAGCCCCGCGGAGCTCGCGGTGCGAGCAGCGCGACAAGGGCTTCAAGGCCGCGCAAATCCACAAAATCGCTCAGATTGCAGCTGGAGGATCGGCCATGACAAACAAAGCCTTTGTCTGCACGTTGCGGGCGATAACGGGCGGAGGGTCGTGCCTGCAGAGAATTCCACTGACTTTCCCAGGCGGCTGTGTCCCGGACTGCACAGTCAAGGCTTTGCCATCCAGACGGCATCCGAAGCGACGACGCGGTTGGCAGCCGCCGTCGGTCGGCCCTATTGGGAGGAAAAAGGGAAACCGCTGGTGCCTGGCGCTGGACGTGTCAGCGGGTTTCGCCGCGACGCTTTATCGTCACCTGAAGAGTCTCTGAAGACCTCCTCGCCTGTGGTTGGGCCGGAGGATCCAAACGGCTTCTTCGCGTCGCCCGACAGCGGACTCCCCGTAGTGGAAAAGAACCTCTGGGCTGACGAATGCAAGCCGCTCCAAAATGTCCCACGACGCAATTTCGGTCCGTAGCCTTCAGAACCGTGGATACAGCCTCGGCCTCCAACGTTGTGCAGGCCCTCGAGCTTCCGGGTCAATGTGCGTGCTTGGCGAACGCAACCACCAGAATTCTGCACTTCGAAGTGCGAGCTCCTTTGCCACGAGTGCCGGTCTTTGCCTTTACTCTCTTGCTGTGCGAGGAGGTTCGCGCACCGTCTTGCACACTACGGAACAGGGCACAAGAAGAGCACAGGCTCAGGAGCGGCGCATGGAATCAAGCTTCCTCCCTGCCAAGAAAACGTCAGTTGGCCCCTTTCCATGTACATCCCTTTGCGACAAAAGAGACTCGCTTTCGCCGGCTGTTGCGGAGCGAAGGAGCGGACGACGGCCCTTGCGACGACTGAGTTTGTGTTTCGTGTCCCTGCGGGCGATTACGCCGGAGACGAAGGCAGTTCCCCGCGCCTCAGGGACGCCATATACCCAACAACGCGATTCTACAGCGAATACACAGTGAATGTGCGTCGAATGTGAGCCAAGCCATGCGCATGCCGTCTGGCTTTTCTTTTCCGGATACCAGAGGAGGTAGCCTCAATATGGTTGGCCTCGATATGTGCATTTCTCCGTCATTTCAATACCATCCTATTGTTTCCTCTCCTTTCTGACATTTTCTCTCTCATGATTAGGACTCCCCCATATAGATACTGAACGTTGACTGAACGCTGATACTTTCTTTCTATCTCACTGTTTGGGACCCTACATCGGTTCCTGCTGGAAAAGGATCCCGTTGTGAAACAACGATTCGCGGGGGAGCTCCTTGCTTAGATCAGCATATAATACATTGGAATTCAAAAAATCCCATCGTTTCTCGCACACGTTCCCACCACTTTCTTCCCCTTCTGCACGACCGTCATCCGCGCTTGGGGGAGGGTGCTTCCGGGCGCGACCCAGAGAACGCCACGACCACGCCGCCCGCTCGGGCAGCCACCGGGGAAGCAAGCAGGCGGTTGCAAGCGGTGCTCGGCCCTGATCTGATCCGCACATTCGAACCCCGCAGCGACAGACTTGGCTGCGCCTTGGGGGGGGATCACAAGGCCGTACACTTGACGGTGCCAGCAGGGCCGGCCGCGGCAACGGGGAGCATTTGCTCTCTGACACGACCGTGGGTGGTAATCGCTGACACACCAGGTTGCCAGGGAGATGGGCTGCGAAGGAGGATTGGGCACACATCCTCTCACCAGCGCTCATCCCTCGACACGGGACCCTCGTGGAGGATGGGTAATTTGGTGCGACAAGAGGCGGTGGTGCCTTCAAGCGAAGGGGACGGCGCCGTACGGCCGAAGGTTCTTGAAGCCGGCAGGGGAGCTTGATCGCCTTGGTCCCTCTTAAAACGGCGGCAATGGCGATCCGCCCCGGAGGTCATTCGGGTTTCACAACAAGCGCCACAGACTGGGTGTTCGGAGTCGACAAGCGGCACTCGCTCCGTCCAGGCTCGCCATCAAAACTCGCGCCCATTACACACGACAGTAAAAGAATACCCCAAACATCACGCACATTCGATCGCCCACTTTCTCGCCCGAGTCCCCGTCGGATCCCCCGCAGTTTGTCCCCCCCCGTGCGGTGGCCTACGCTCCAAAATCGACACTGGGGTCGCTTCCACTGCCAACGCCCTTGGCCAAGCCACAGCAGACCATCAACACAACTCATACACAAGCCACCATCGCAGCCCCTTGGCACCATTACAGGCTTCAGCGACGCCTTTCATGGCTTCGATGACGCCATTCATTGCTTCAACAACACCTTTCATGGATTCAACGACGCCTTTGATGGCTTCGGCGGCGCCAATGATGGCTTCAACAATGCGTTTCGTGGCTTCAACGGCGCCTGTTGACGGGGTCGAAGTTGGCGATCAGGCCCACGGCGCCGACGATCCCCCCGGCCACCACGCCGCCCGCCAAGACGGAGTTGAGGAGGGCGCTGACCGATGCGTTCACGGTGGCGGCATCGGCGACCTCAGGCGCGGCCAGCGCGGCGGTGAGGGCGGCCGCCAGGGCGGGGGCCGCCAGGAGGGCGTCCTTCTGATGGCTGCGGCAGACAGCAGGGGTCGAATCACAAAGATGGGATGGTTGTCGCAAGGCAAACACGAGGGGTCGAATCACAATGGTTGGATGGTTGTCACAAGGCAAGGCCCATTCACCAAGCTGGGGATGGTGGGCCGAACGAGAGGGGTTGATTTCCATTGACTGCGTGCTTGCAACACAGGAAGGCGACCCCTTTAGGCAGTGCACCGCCAGCGAATTCTGTCGATTGCATGGCTGTCACATGCAAGGCCTTTCACTGAGCTGGTGATGTTGGGCGAAACGTAAGGGGTTGGACTTGGGAATGGGGGGGCCGCTGGCGTCGATCCCTTCGCCAAGGGGTGGCCCACAGCCAAGAAAGCAGTGCAGGCAAGGGGGGTGGGGGTGGATGAACAGCCGGGTGCGTGAGATCAACACGGTTGCAAGACAGGGCCACAAGTCTTGAAGAACGGCAGGCAAGGGAAGGGGAGGTGAGAAGTGGAGGAATTGGAGGGTGCAGAGAGGCGTGCGTCCGCACAGGCCAGCCCATAACCTTGGACGAAGAATTGGGTCCCAGTTTGCATGACTGGGAAGGGGGCCAAACAGAGAGATGGGTCATCAGCATGGCCGGGACAAGTTAATCAGTTTCTCCACAAGGAGGGTCGGTCTTGAAGGCGCTGATCCTGAGTGTCAAAGCTTCCAAGCTTGGTGATCGCGGGCCACAAAGAACGCGCACTGATTGATTGCGAAAATTCCTGGGGATAGCAAACAAACGGGTGGCGCGCCACCTGGCAGCGCGATGGTTCGCAGGCCACGGCGAGCGACAGGATCGAGGACCATCGGCAGTGCCACGCCCGGCGATCGCCACCGTTCCCTACTAAACCAGACGCACAGAATCTGCCAACGCGTGCATTCATTCCGAGCGATCTTTGCCGCTCACCTCGCGCACACCACCCTGGCCACTCGGGCGTTAGCCGGCCTTGGGTGCTGGACCACTGCATCAAATCAAGCCACACCATGGTTCAGAAACACCCGGACAGAGTCCCCTCGCAACGTCGCGGCCAACACGCGCCGACCGACTCGTAGACGATCCGCGGCAACCGCCCACATTGCTCCAAGTGCCGTCCAGAGAAGACGCCACGGCAACTTCCACGATCATGAAAGCCTGGAGGATGATCAAGTTGTCCGTCCAAGCACCAAACTGTCGACGGCCAGGGGGATGAGGAGAATCGTCGATGGCATCCCCACCTGGCAGCCCCTTCATGCCCTTTCGGGCGGCGATCATGGGCGAGTTGGTCGAGGCGAAGGCTGCCATGGCGGCGGGGCGGGCGGACGGGAGGCTCGGGGCGGCCGCGTAAGGTGGAGCGGTTTGAAAATCTCTCTGGCGCCGCGGGGAACAAGGAACGCGACCGAGGCGGTCGCGGGATGCCTGGCAGATGGGGGCGTTGGCGAAAAGTTTGGAGATCTCAGATTTTTTGGGCGGGGTGGGGCGGGGTGCGCGGGAGGCCATTGGAATGAAAAATGTGTGGATAGGGCTACCATGTTCTGGATACGGGCCACGAGCACGGGGGTGAGACGGGCGAGACGAAGACGGAGACGGGTCACGGTTGGGCGCCCGGGCGTTAATGTCGAAGATCTGTATGTACAGGGTCTCCGTCTCGTCTCCGTCTCATCTGTGTCTGGAACGCCCTCGAGGTGTGTGCAAATACGTGCGCATCACAACCAGGCTTGGTTTTTACGCCGTAAACCTGATCGTATTTACGTTCTTACGCGTAAAAATAGTTTTTACGCTTTTATGCATAAATGTGGGTAAAAACACGTAAATACAACGTAAAGAACTGACTGGTGCACATAAGCACAGCACATACAGACTTACGGAGTCCGGAGAGTGGCAGCCAGACTCCCTGGAAGGGGCAGAAAACGAGTTTTTGCTAAACGCCATTATTGCCCTTGTGAAGGGCGAGTTGAACATTGTGTTGCGGGTGCTGGAGATGGGGGAAGACAGAACATTGTATGCAGCTTTCATCGTGTACCCTGGGTGCCCCAGGAAGCCGTAAAAACGCAAAACAGCTGCAAAAATAAGCCCTTTTGCAAATCCACGTTTTGCGCACAGAAACGTAAAAGCACAAACGTAAAACGTAAAAAACAGGCCTGGTCACAACAGTGCCAAAGACTGTTCACCCAAGGGTATGTAGGCATTGAATACTACAGCAATACTACAATACGCCTTCGAGGTGGTTTTGGGCGTGTGTTTGACGGGCCGGCACCATTGTGCCTTGTGGGGCTTGGTTTGGGCGTTATGCCGAAACAGCGCTTCTTTGTCAATTTCCCGATCCAGCACTTTGGGCTTAAGGCAGTGGGCTAGGTCTTCATGCTTGATTCAGCGGCACAGCACCTCGTGGATGTTATGTGTTCCAGTGGCCCACGTTTCGACCGAAGCACTTCCGTGAATGGCATATGGCAGCCAACTGTGACCATCCAACTAGCGCCGTGGTCTTTCTCCTGGGAATGCGATCGCTTTAGCAGGTAGTGGGCCCTAAACCCGGAAAGTAAACTGCTAAGAAACTACTGATTTGATAAAGAAAACTGCAACTACGCTCTGTGCCGTTGCGATCCCGACCACCACTGGGTGGCTGCAGCATGCTCTGTTGATATGCAGCGACAAAACGCTCCGATGGCTTGAAGATAGCGAAGAAAGAGGATCCCTTGTGTATGGCGACGATTGGTAAAATTTCATGCGTTTTGGGCGTGCTCCAGGCTCAGCCGCAGGGAACGTCGTGAAAAATTGGGGTTGAGAATGGTGCAGCGAATATTGCATGACTGTCCAGTGCCCATGAGCAATGCTGTGTGCAGTGCCTATGATAGTGACAAAGATAGTGAAGAATGTGAACACGGTGCGTATGGCGAAGGTGGTGGGAAGTTACGGTGCATCAAAAGTGAGCATGGGGCAGCGCATGACGGTGAACAAATAGCAATGATTTGGTGCTTATTTCGGCGATGAATGTTTGATAAAGATTATAGTGTGTAGTCTGTAGATTATGACCTGTCCTTGTGCCTGCAGGCGGACTTCAGCTGGGGGAGTCGATGCAGGAGCGATCTTTTGCTGACAACATAACGCTCATGGTGGGAAAGTTTCTTGGATCTGCTGGTGTACTAGATTCTAATAGCAATGCAAACAGCCAACATCGCCTCTACGGTACGAGGGCAGTGCCTCTACCCAACATCTGCGATGCAAGGGCTCTACCCAACATCGCCTTACAGGTGCAAGGGCAGTGTTTTCTTATGTTTATGTGACAATCAAAAGTTTTGAGCAAGCTGTCAGGCATTTTGCACTGCCAAGCGCCATTACCTAGGGCGATTGCTTCTGTGTCCTTCACTTAAGATAATGATTCAATACGCCAAAGCTTCTGGCGTCATACTTAAATCAATTTTGCTCCTTATTACTTCGAACAGTAGTGCCGTGAGGGATGCAGGGCTGTCGTGAGGACAAATTGGTGCCCGTGGCGAATGTGCACGGTCAGTCTGCGGGGGAGCTTTTAGGCGTTCCGTTTTGATACCAAGGATCATCATTTGTTCTATGTCGAGTATCTGGCACCGCTGTGTGAAGAACAACTTGGCACATCACCCGACTACCCTCCACTGTCCACCGGTCTTATGTCACTCCGGAGGAGATGGGAGGAGCCTGGTTTCGATGCGCTTTTTTGAGTCGCCGTTCGGTGGACATCACAAAGACACAGCAGCGTCAAGTCATGCGTCGTATCGATGAAGCTCTGATCGACGAGTGGAAACGGCGATGGCACACCGCCGACACTGGACGTTTCTTACACGCACTCCTTCCGGACACGGGACAGCCAGGCTTGGTGTTTACGCCGTAAAAACTGATCGTATTTACGTTTTTACGCATAAAATTAGTTTTTACGTTTTTACGCGTAAAAATGCGTAAAAATACGTAAATACAACGTAAAAACTGCCCGGTGTACATAGGGGCAGTACATACGTACTTACGGAGTCCGGAGATTTGCAGCCAGACGCCCTGCAGGGCTTCCAGCTGGAAGGGGCAGGAAACGAGTTTTTGTTAAACACAATCATCGCCCTTGCCAAGGGCGAGGTGGACACTTGTTGCGGGTGCTGGATGTGGCGGAGGACTGATCATTGTACGCAACTTTCATCATGTAATATGGGCGTCCCAGGGGGGCGTATAACGTAAAAACAGCTGTGAAAATAGGGCCTTTTGCAAATTTACCTTTTTACGCATAAAAACGTAAAATTAAAAACGTAAAGGTAAACTGTTCGCGACGCTGCATAATGACCACCGTTTCACTGGGTGGATCACTTATGCTTGATGGCTTGCGACTAGTGTGCATGTCAAAACGTGAATCGCTGCTTGAGATTGAAAAAAAAAAGACTGTGGTTGCAGAAAAATGGTGCTATGAAACTTGCAAAGGTTACTCCCACCAAGATGTTATTTTCCTTGAAGGGGCACACAGGATGTCTCTTTCCCTAGTGTAGTATTGAGCTTCTAGCGTATGCATACTCCTTTGCTTGAAGATTGGCGCATGTTTTATGAAAAGTCGGATTAGCCATTTCTGTGAGTGAATTCTGGTTTTGAATTTGGTTCTTGAGGTAGTTTTTGATCACACTCATGTTTGTTGAGGACAACATGAGCTTCATGAAAGAATGTCATGCAATTCACATAGAGATGCCTTGGTCATAGTGTCTTGTCTGCAAGATGCAAGGGTGTCTTGTGGGGAAGTTTCGGATGTGTCTTTCCCGAAGCTTTACAGCATTGTGACTGCCCTCAACTTCACTTTGGCTGGCAAGATTTGTTGTACTTGCTGTTTGTAGTGGGGGCGTTTGGAAATGACCATATGTATGCGCTGAGTAGCCAGAAATATGTTAGGGAGCCAAAAGCTTGGGCCCACACCTGATGGCTCTTTCCAGGGTGGACTACTCCTGGGACTACCCTTGCTGCGGCTGCATGTGTTCGTTCATCTGAGTGAAAGGGTAATTGTGGCATATTCCATACGTTGGCTGCACCTTAGTGATGAGGTGGCATGGGGTTGAATTGTCATATGGGCATTTGTGATTGATGACAATCCTTGGGAGTGAAAAGGGTGGATGAGTGGTTGCGGAAAAAGGAATTCTGAGTGGGGGTCGTTGCCGGCGGCAGTGGCAAGACTCTGTTGTGGGAAGGGCGAACAAATATGTAAGCCCAAGGCTGCTCGTCTGTGAGTTTGGACCAAAGATAGCCGCAGCGGACTCCAAGGGAGCGCTGCAATCACCAGCTTCCAAAGCGCACTCCAAAGGATGGCCTTGAATGGCCATACCTTCAACAAAACGTAAAAACCAAGCCTGGGGACAGCCATGGAGTCCTGAAGATGTTGCCCTTTGTCATCGATCGGATGTGATTTGGGTGGGCCGTTTCATGACTGGGCACTGGCACTTTGGCAATTCAGAATTCCGCAAGATGATGATGAGATGGTGCAATACGTCTTGTGTGGGCAAGTCTACAGTCGCACACATTTTCTTTCTGAATGCGATCAACTGGAGGATTTGCGCTTGCAATGGCTGAACTCAGAAGGTACACTGGTAGAAAACCGCATGTTTGCGATGCCAACTGCGATGCTATTTTGACACAAAACGATGCCGTCACAGTGATTGCGATGTCATAGAACTGGCTGTGATGGCATCAATTTGTGTCAAATGGCGTTGCAATTAGCATCGCAAACAGGCTGTTTTCTACTGGCAGTATTGGTATGCAAAATTTGCACGATTTGGTTTGGAATCACTGCTCGAGACTTGGAGCTTTTCTACAATCAGTGGGTGAAAGAACGCGCTTCATCAGAGGCCAGCGAGCCCTTGAGCGAATAGCGTGCCCTCCTTTCCCTTGGCATGCGCACAGTTAACTTTTGTTTTGTGTGGGGGAGCTTTTGGGAATCGAAGTCAGCTGCGACCGCCATCAGAAGCGTGTTTTGCAATATGATTGGGCCTGGACGTGCCCTTCATACACTGGATGGTACGCTACATTGATCGATGCCGTGACGTCATGTCGATGCATCCATGTAAGGAAGAAACAAACAAGCAAACATCACCCGACTGCCTTGATTTGTTTGCATTTGGGGGCGGCATTCGCAAAACACGAGGTCACATCATCGTGGCCACCACAGTGGCCAAGGACAGCACTGCCGGAGGAATGCATGCTGATCAGCTCAGCAATGTTCTTCAGGCCGCAATTAAAAATTTGCGCAAACAGCTGGAATGCTGAGAAAGGAGTGGGAAAGGAATGGCGTGCTTTTGCTCTGTTTGTGGCCTTCC